AAAAAAAAAAAAAAAAAAAAAAGACAGCAAAAAGTAATCATTTTATAACCTCCACTTTCATATTTATTTATACCATGCCATTACAGCCCAGAAAACCCATAGTTCATCAAAGTCCCCACATTGTATTATAAATGCATACGACTTAAGGTAGTTTTACCAAGGAATAGGAGGAATCTCTCGTGGGATATTCTTGGTCCTACAAGGAGCATCAAAACTTGTAGTCCAGTTTTTACCAAATATTCCTCCAATGACTGTCAATGGAAAACCAACTGCAGAAAGAGAAGAAGAAAAAATTTACTTAAACAGTGCATACTATATTATACAACGATCAGAAATTAATTTTTCCGAATTTATTTCCAAGGGTCTTTCACCCGGAATAACCTCGTTCCCAAGCACTATAACCTATCTATATTTCTATATCTCATACAACGATCAATGAACCTTTTTTGGGGGGGGAGGGGGGAGGGGGGATGTGCCAAACTCTTAATTTTATTAATGAAATCTGAAACAACCTCTTACATGATTTTAAGTCAAGAGAAGACTAATTTGAATGCGAAGGGAGAGACCCAACACACTACAACAATACTCACAAATCATGATTTTCGTTGAGGGTCAGGGATCAGAGAATGTTCTGGAGTCTGAGCAAAATTCTCCAGCTTAAACTACAACTAATATCTTAGTAATTTAAAAATTGGTCAACAGGTTTCTCCAGCTAGTTCATGATCTTCTCCTATCATTTATCAAAATGTAATGAAAATCCTGATATGTACTTATAAGTTACTAGCTACTAGTTACTATGTATGCTTTACCCAAAAGCCAAATAAACATGAGTAGTATTATAGTAGTATATGGAAGTGCTTGTGTGGATTGATAGCTCCAAGCAACTGAGTTGGTGAAACTCCAGACCAAAAAGAAAGGAACTGAAAAGAAAAAAGATAATAAGATCAAAAGTTATTATAATAAATTATTAACTAATTCTTCATTCTTGATATTACTAAAAAAACTGGAATCCTTTCTCATTTTTTCCTCTTTATTCGTGTCACCAGATTATGGTGTTGGTTGAACAGTTTTCATATGACTTTGAACAGCTCACAGCACTCATTGCAAATGCAGTGATTTAACAAGGCATTTGCTAGACCAATCACATATTGTACAGATAATGACTGCAAATAAGTATTGTTTCCTAATTTCCGATCCAATACCTGAAACCAGGCATGGTGTGGACACAGTCACAGCACTGCCAGAACAGTTACATGTATATTGCAAGGGACAAAAATCAGCCAATCAAAATTCAAGAAAAACTAAGTTAATAGAGCAAGGTATGCATACTTGCACACATATATAACAAGTAGTGAATAGGGGTGTATATATGTCACATTTAGTGTTATAGGGGTGCGTTTTTGTCACATAATTTGCATAAACAGGAAATGACATCACCAGACCGGAAATGAAAAAAAAACAGACCAAACAATAAGCCAGACAGTGTTAGGTTACATAAATGACTTTATTTCGCAAAATGATTAAAAAAGATGAGCTCAACATCATTGTATTCAGGGGTTTCTTTTTCAAACTCATGACAAGCACACTCACACCTGCGACACATGCACTCGCATTGAAAGCCTTTACTAACGATCCATTTTTTAAGAGCCTCGTCACAACCTTGCTTGAGCATTTCACGTTTTTGCTGCTTTTCCTTTTCCCATTGTTTCTTTTCTAATTTTTGAAGAGTTTCAAGCGCCACTCGATCCTTCCAGGCTTTGTACCCATCCTCGAGGCTGGGGGACATGATATGAGCAGTGATAGAATCAATGTGTTCTTTGTTTTCATCCACCATGGCGTAGGAGTAAGTGCTCCACTGAGGCAAATAGTACGTGCGGCACAGAGTATTTATGTAACCTAACACTGTCTGGCTTATTGTCTGGTCTGGTTTTTCTCATTTCCGATCTGGTGATGTCATTTCCGGTTTATGCAAATTATGTGACAAAAACACACCCCTATAACACTAAATGTGACATATATACACCCCTATTCACTACTATAACACCATTGTTTTTTCGCTCATATGAGAACTGCTCTAATTGGACCAATAAAAGGGAACTGTGAAAAGAATCTTCTGGTAATACTAGTATCAAGTGGTAATGAGAGGAATAATAATGAAGGTGTTTGGCTATCCTTACCTGAGAACAAACTTGCTGTCAGTACAATAATCCAAACCCACTTTGTGCCACCAATCTTTCTGTAGAATGAGCTTGATACAAAACCAGACACACCTAAAACAAATTTACAAACCCCACACATTAGTGGATCATGTGATAAAATTAATATACATTATTGTCATTGTGTTAGGGTAACACAGCTCGTGTTGGGTGATTGAGGTGGTGTGTTCCCATCAACCCACACAGAGGACTGCATGGCTACCTGATATATTATGCAGATGTCAGGGTCGGGATAAGCTGAGAATGCTATCAGTTTATCCAATATGTATATAGTAATGATAAAAGGGTAAATTTTACACTGTGAAAGGATGAAAAAACTTATCGACATTTTGGACGCTAGTCCTTCATTGGAGTAAAAGAGGTAGATCTAGCGTCTGAAACATCAGTAAGTTTTTTCATCTTTTCACGGTGTATGATTTACCCTTTTATCATTACTCTTTCATTAGAAACACCGACGCAGCTCACACTAGTTTTTAGCTAGTTATCTCTCCCAATATGTATATGAGCAGAGTTTAGGTTACTTACAGCAAGTTAAGGCATAGAGAAGTACAGCTGCAGTATTCATGGAGCCATGCCTAGGGGAAAACACAACACACAGTATTAGCATAACCCTACAGAAATGACTGAAAAAATGAAAGATTTTAGAAAATGTAGAAACCATTGTATTTGGGTTGCTTCATACCTGTGAACATTAAACATTCCTAGCATCGCCATTATTATGATGCCGAAACATAACGTCAGAAACTGACAACCAACTCCTGTTAAATGAAAAATCCCATACATGTTATATAATTATGATATATTGGCATATACCAACTTGTGTACTTCCTACAGAACGCGCTCATTGGTTAATTGGAGGTGAATATTGTACGATATTCATCTCTGAATCTCTGAACATTGAGTCGGCAACAAAATGGCATCTGCCAGCAATCCTTTAGCTACAATTTCCGATGAGGAAATTGAAAAAATGAAAGTAAATGCCATTCCTATCAATACTAAAAAGGCAACGAAGTATGACCTAAAAGTTTTGCTAAAAGTTTTGCTAAAAGTTTTGCGTGAATTTGTCATGCAAACTAAAAGTTTCTTTTTGTTTTTATTGAATTATTGTATATAAGAATAAGTTATTCTGTACACAAGTTGGTATATGCTAAAACAATTATTCGCCTCAGGCTCAGTGAATATGGAGAATATTTACCTCGCCGCTCCAAGACTCGTGTCTCGGTAAATGTTCCCTGATATTCACTTAGCCTTTGGCGAATAATTGCTAATTATCCTGAATGTCAAAAAAATATCACACCTCCACCTTCAATAGACCCTTGCCACCCACCCCTGTGAGTTTGGTGGGAGACAAGTCATGTAGTTCATAAAGGTAATTAATGACAAGCAGGGCGAGTTGGTCAACCAGATTATGCAGGTGGAATATACAGTACCATAAAGGTTTTAGAGGTTCACTTTCAGCGTCATTACCAATAATAATAATCACCAATTTATTCACATTAAAATAGGAAAGAAGATATGAGGTTAACCCTATTGAGAATATAATATTGAATTGAAATTTAGAACTTGATTTTTGTGGAGGGAAGAAAACCAGAAAACCTGAAGAAAAGACCCTTGAAGCAAAGGAGAGAACCAACAAACAGCTCTTCTCACATACAGGCTGTACGACACATCTCAAACCCAGGTTGCATTGGTGAAAAACAATGCATTAGCAGCACATGCCATCTAGTCCCTGCTTCCTGTATGCAACATTTTAAAAATATATTTAAAGAAAGAGAAAGCTTCTATCCATAGTATCACTACTGAATTTAACCAGCCTACCGATTGTACTTACCCAGAATGGCACATAGTGTACCCTTGTATGGAGGAAACCTGAACACATCAGTGTGAATGATCTTCCAGCCACAATCATCACCATCTATAAAATATTTTTTATTATGATCATATTATTATTATTAATAAACTTTAAAACAGCATCCTTGTTGAATTTGAGAAACAAAATTTAAACTCACTGGCTTGAAGGTTTATGTGTATTAAACACAGAAATTGCAAGTGACACGTGGAATATTCAATGATTACAGTATCTCTGCCCATAACTTACGATGGAATAACATAACATTATATTATAAAAAAATAATAAATGAATAAACTTACCCATTTCATCAACATCCATGTCATCATTCAAGTTATATTTGGCAAAATCATTTCTTAAAACTCTCATCTGAGATAAAAATAATAAACTTCAATATTAGATTGTCACCCATAGAAACTATGCATATTAATACGACAAACGATCCCTCATTGAACAAAAATATTGCATCTCTGAGAGATTTTAGTCATTGCTTATCAATATACTATATCATGGTGTATCAATCATTTTAGTCCAACCATAATATCATTAAGTACATTATAGCCCACAGTGTTTGAAATGGCAGCCTCCCTGAATCACCGACTTTGCAATAGTTTCAATTGATACAGTTTGAAAGGCAACTGAAAGTGGTTGTTAAAAAGATGCTCAACGTTCTAAACTAAAATATAAACTGAGCATAGGATGATATTTACCATGATAATAACAACAAATCCCATCAAGAGGAAGACAAGAACCACAGAATTTATGATTGACAACCAGTGGATCTGAAATCAAATAAAGACTTTTTGGTCAGAACCTTGTCTATACTTCAATAGGAGTGTTCTGATGTAGAAGTCAGAGCTGGGTTCTTGCTGATGAGCTATCACAACAACTTGACAGCTTCCAAATGACCTGGTTTCATTGAACTACACACATGGTACGGTATGTATTATAGTTTACAATATGTAAAGCAGTACCAAACTCACCTCCAGGCTTTTAGGGAAAAATTTTGCTGTGCTTAGCTTGGATCTTTCGGAATATTTGGCACTGAAAATACAGTAGAAGAAATTTATCTAGATCTTCAGATTTATAGGTTGAGTAAAAAAAGCTACAGTACCTCCAAAAACTTAAAATCTTGGGCTGTAAAATTTAGTTAACTTTTTAAAAAATCACCATGAAAAGGGCAATGGATGTTCCAGTAAAAAAATGATAAGATGTGAAGTTTTTATTGTGTCATTGGTATTAAGTATTACTAACAGCTTTTGACCGTACCTGGTGGGCTTCCAGGAAACACTGTAAGTATGCTGTACATTGAATGGAAACTTCTCTATGTCATCCAGGCTAACAGGTTCGTGGCCATTTGTTGTCACATTAGCTGTAATGACCTAAGGAAACATACCAGTAGGTAGATAATTTAAGGATTTATCCCACCTTTGATATTGTAGGGTAAATTATGATTAGGCCCAATGTAAAGGGTCTATTAACCTAGCTTTCAAGCTACATCATACACCGAACTGAAATATGGTGACCAATCTCAATAGCTATTGCTTTGCACTGACTAGCGATTGACAAGCCGTGTTTGAGTACAAACATTGAATTTGACTGTTTTCACATGTATGTGAGAGGCTAGTCAGTCGTTAGTCAGTGCAAAATACAGTAGTTATTCAAATTGGTCATTATATTTCAATTCGTTGTATGTTGTCATGAAAGAGGACTAACTCTCTAAAATGTCTGCGGTATAAGTGGGAGAAGCATACAGCTACTGTAAGTCTTCAATGTGCTAAAATAATTTTTTACAGCTCTCACCCATAAGGTATCAATTGGTAAAATAACTAGCCTATTTGACAGTGCTTAATACAATTACAGTCAACTCTCGCCTTGCGGACACCCTGATACTACGGACACCTTACTATTACGGAAAGGAGAAAAATCCCCGACAAAAATATTGACAAAGAAATGACCGTAATATATTTTCGCTATTGCGGACGCTCGCTATTACAGACACGAAGTGACGGTCCCAAGGGTGTCCTCTGTAATGAGAGTATCGTTAATTATGTGTCTACCTGATTTCCATTATACTCCACGGCAAAATGAAGATGACTCCACAAGTAAATTTTATGTCTGTGTGGAAGAATATGCCCTTCTTCTAGGTGACCAATAAACCCCCGTATTGGAAGATCATCTAGAGGGAAAAACAAATCATATCTATTGCCAAAAGGCTTGTGTGTGAACTAGAAAATAGATGTGATACATGGGATGGCGTGTAACCTAATTAAACCATTTGTCCCCAAGGCATTATAATCAACTTAACAAAATCTATTTGTTTAAAACCATTCACAAGTAAATGACAAAACCTTGGCAGCCATGTTGATGCTTAAGTGAAAATATGTTTTGTTGTTGTAGCCTTTTTGGAGCCATAGAATGTGTTGTATATATCATCTTTTCCTTTTGCTTGTTGATAGTGCAAAATGACAGCAAACCTTAATAGTCCACCTCTGAGATATGCTTCGCTTGTCAAGTACAAAGGTTTCAGTATGAGGCTAAGAGCTAAATGCTCAGTCATTCGTGACAGGCGGTAAGAATAAATTTAATTTAGTATAGCACATAGCCTCATACTGAAACCTTTGTGCTTGACAAGCAAACCATATCTTGGAGGTGGGCTATTGCTATAGAAAGGGCGCTATAGTGTAAATCACAAATCATCAAATCATCATCATCATCAAAAGGCTAATTCACCTTTTTGGCGCTAGCTTGGATTGTGTTACTGTCACCAAAAGTTCGGACATTGTTCTCAGATTCCCATACAAATTCACTTACTTTAAAGAAAAAATTTCGGTAGATTTCTTTAGTTAGCTCTCTTAACAGCAATAACAAAAGCTTCAATCAAGTTAGATAAAATGATCATTTACTTGTATTTAGAGAACTAACTAAACATTAACCAAGTAAATAGTTCATTTAGATTCAGCACATTCGTACGGAAATCCGAGAACAATGTCCGAACTTTTTGGTGACCGTAACACAATCTAAAACAATTAAATACCCTGTGATGGCCAGCGCCGAAAAGATGAATCATAAGATGGCCATGACAGTGTAATGTGAAAATATAGAACATTCTTAAAAGATATTGTACAGCTATCTAGTTATGTTGCAGACCAAGCAAATAACCGAATATTAAAGGTGTAGGGACATTGATACCTACCAAAATTAAACTCAAAATAGTACAGATCTTCTATTGCAGACCTTAGTGTCTCCAATCCTGATTTACTCATTGATACTTCACATAGCACTCTATTTTCTATATCAGCTGCAGATTATAACAAACATGTTTAATAATTAAGTTTGAATAATGAACTAATGGAATAGACATAGTTAACTTAGAAAAAATTTGGAGTCACAGATGGGTTTGTTTGCTAGATGGGACTATTCCATTGGTCCATTATTCGTTATTGATCTATTGTTATAATATTTACGAGCCTAATTTTAAATCTAATTATAGCTATGTCTTAATTCCTAGGAAATTGATCAGGAAGATACCTACATTGATAACCAATAGCTTTATATATTATAAATAAACACTACATCGTACAGTATGATTCCAGAAATCAATAGAAACAGAATGATAGAACTTACTTTTAAAGTGAATGTCATACATGGCTACGGCCATGCGATCACCTTTTAGAACTTCTCCAAGCGTTAAACTGCGATGTTCTACCTAAAACGGCAATTCCATTCAATTTATACTAGACGTAGAGCTAATCATTGATAACTAAGATTTAAAAATATATTAAGTCAAGGACACTTTTTACCTGAGCTAGACATAAAGAGAATTACTTTTAGAGGCGTATAATTTGAAGATCAAATAGGGATCTTACCTTGCTTGGTCTGCATACTGGCAAAGAGTAATAATGATAGGTCTCTTGAGGGTTGAAATATGGTCCAACTTTGTTGACAAATATTGGAATCTGGGAAGCAAAATTAGAGTATTAAACCCGAAATATTAGAGGACTGACGTTTAGAATAGGTATTTACCTTCTCTTCGTCTTTATAAGTGTTGGCTGAAGTAAGAAGAAAGCAGTAAAACAGCGGTATAAGCGATAACAAGTGGTGGTTGTAGGCCGCCATCTTGTTTGGTTTGGATGCTCGAGGGGTTTTATGGGATTGATAAACGTGGACTAAATGGATGGAAGGTCGTAGAAAAAAAAAGACAAAATAGAACAATGAAAATCAAATCAAAAGGATTCTAAGAAAAGAAGACAGACGACTTCAAAGAAAATAGCTTAGGAAATAAGAAATAATGTTCGTAAGAAATTGTAGTTTATAATCAGAAAACGGGGAGTGGATGACGTTTAAAAAATTAAATATCACTATGGAAACGACTTACAACTCGCAAAAATTGAAACGCCAGAAATTATATATTGTTTGATCTCAACAGTAGACGTGTAGTAATAAAACGAGATTAATAAGTCTTTACTTTTTTAATTGGTAATTCTACACTTACAAGCCAAAGACAGATGTATTATGGAAAGTAATTTAAAAGTAGGAAAACCTCGAGGTGTGATCATGAACCATTTGCATTACATTTTGGGCTTCCTGTGATATTGGCGAACTACGATTTAATTAATAAAATCGATCGTATTTGTATTATTATATCCACTTAGTATGATCTATTCTCGATTACTTGAACGCATACATAATACGTGACAAAAAATTTAAATTAGAATAAAGAATGGTTAGAGAGCGCTCTGGAAACGACTCGACTAATAAGCCTTTTCACAGTTTAAGAATCGATTCCACTGCGCATGCGATTTTATCCCGAATTTCTACCTTCTTTTGTCTAAACCTTCTTTTGTTCTTAATTAAACAAAAGAAGGTGAGAAATTCGGGATAAAATCGCATGCGCAGTGGAATCGATTCTTAAACTGTGAAAAGGCTTATTGGAACCCTTTGGGCTTCCTGTGGTTGGCATCGAAGGAGCATTCAAGAACCATGACAATAATATGAACTACTAATTTTAAAACAATGCATAAAGTACACAACAACTAAATAAATACAATGGCTAACGTTACACTGACAGCTCGGTAAGTTTGTGCAATACATATCAGTCAAAGGAAGTAAATATTTTGCTTGGAATAGTGAATAGGACTGAGAATACTGACGTCCACCTCTTCAAGCCTTCGGCGGTGCTCGTTGATATCGTGTATCACGGTCGCGTTAAAAGAACAAATACCTTGAGATTTTGCGTTGAATTTCCCACAATTATCCTTAAATAATTATTATGAACTTTTTGCAGTAGTATTCCTGTCATTTTTTTGTGGTTTAATTCTGATTTAGACCTTATTTTGAAAACTTTAGGAACTGGTTCTGCACGCGCCACGCATGAATCCTATGGTTGAGAACCAACAATGATATGCGGAGCAAAAACGTGTTTTGAAATGTGGAAATTTTGCCTCCCTCCTCCTAAAAAGGATATTTTATTTTACATAGACCCCTTGCAGAATATTCCCAATGCAGCCCAATGCAGAGGACAAAACAACAGAATCTTACTCTCATGAGAATTGAAATATTATTCGTTGTTTTGTCCTCTGAGTTGAACAGGTATGGTAATTGCTGGAACCGGTCTATACAATTCATTTAAATATTCATTCTAGTGAACTGAAGAACAAGAACACTGGTATAGATATCTATGTCCCTAAGTATGACACTATCCCAGGCCATCTTGGAAGTACTGTCATGTACCATGTTATCGTTGTGACGCGGCTGTTTTACTTCAAGTCGCAAACCAAGTACAAAGAGTCTGATGTGGTACAGTTCATGGTGAGCTTATTGGTCAATTTAGAAGTTTATTTTGTTCACTGGATTGGCGGTTCCTGTGTTCCCTTCCTCTCCACTCCCACTGGTCCCTCTCCCCACAGGCACCAAACCCACCACATCCCCCCCCCCCCCCCCCCCCCCACACCCATAAAAAAAAAAAAAAAAAAAGCAATGCTTTTTTTGTTTTGTTTTGGAGAGGAAGGAGAGGCTGGTGTAAACATAAACATTAACCCCTCAATGAAATCCTAAAAATATAAGCTTGGCTG